GTATTTATTTTATGTATTTTATTCATGTTATTTTTTCTGGCCTCCCTGGAGGAGATCCCGGGGGCCTTCATCCGCAGACGAATTAATTCAATTAATTTCATTCATCCGTATGGGTTAATTAAATTAATTGAGCATAATTAGATTAATTCGGCGGCCTGAGCCCGGCGCGGCCTGTGTGAGGAGGCGAGAAAAATAAATGAAATAACTAAAATAAATAAAAGAAATAAAATAACTAAAACTTATTGAATTAATTTAATTAAATCATTAATCTGAATACAATAAATACAATAAATAAAATGATCAAATTAACCCAATTAATTTTATTTGTTTAATTCATTTTTCTGGCCTCCCTGGAGGCGACCCCGGGGATCCTCATCCGCAGCCCAAAAATTAAATTAATTTAAGTAATCCGTATGGATTAATTAAATTAATTGAAATAATCAATTAATTCGGCGGCCTGAGCCCGGCGCGGCCTGTGTGAGGAGGCTAGAACATGAAAAAAAATAATAAAAAAACAATTTAGAATAACTGACTCAATTTAATTTAATCTGAATGCAATAAATAAAAAAATAAATAATTAAAATAATTTAATCAATTATGTTTTTTTTTTTCCTTTTTTTTAAAAAAAATGTTTTTGCTTATTCTATGTATTTATTTTTTTTTCTGGCCTCCCTGGAGCAGATCCGGGGGATCTTCATCCGCAGCCGAATGAATCTAAAACGTTGAATTCACTCGGCGGCCTGAGCCCGGCGCGGCCTGTGTGAGGAGGCCAGAAAAATAAACAAAATAAACAAACTGAATAGAATTAGTTGAATTAATTTCGTTCAATTAATTTTATGTATTCTATTTATTTTATGTATTTAACTAATTTTACATATAATAACTAAAATAAATAAATAATTGAATTAGTTCAATTCATTTTATTAATTATATATATTTTATGTGTTTCATTGATTTTTTCTGGCCTCCCTCCAGGAAATCCTGGGGGCCTTTATTTTTCAACCGAATTAATTTAAGTAGGTTAACTAATCCGTCTGGATTAATTAAATTAATTAAGACAATTAAATTAATTCGGCGGCCTGAGCCCAGTGCGGCCTCTGTGAAACGACGGCTCTAGAAGTACAGCTTGCATTTATTCTTGATTTTTCCCCCGGGCTGTGCCCGCACAGCTTCGGGGGAAAAATGCGCGATGCCAGTTCTGCGTCGTCTTGGAGGCTTCTGGGGCCGTCTGGGAGGCCTGCCGGGTGAACGTGAGGCCGTCTTGGACCCTCTCGGGCCGTCGTCGAGGCCATCTCGGACCATCTTGGGCGAGCTCGGAGGCAATCTGGAACTCCCTTTTGGGTCATCTTGGACGCTCTAACGGGTCGCGGCCCTCCTATGCGAATCAACTAGACTTGATAAGGGAGAACGCGCATTGTCGTGGACTGCCCTGGACGTTGAGCTTTGTACGCATTCCGGAGTTTTCCCCCGAGCTGTGTCCTCGCAGCTTCGGCGGAAAAATGCGCGATGCCAGTTCTGCGTCGTAGTAGGAGAGCAGGGGGAGAGGAGGAATAGTAGGACGAGGAAGAGGAGAAGGAGGAGGAGGAGGAGGAGGAGAACGAAGAGGAGGAGGAGGAGGAGGAATACGAGGAGCAGGAAGAGAAGGCAATAGTCAAAAGCAGAGGGGACGTGCCCACCCCATGCGAATCAACTAGCCTTGATCAGGGACCCCCGCGTATTGTCGTGGACTGCCCTGGAAGTGCAGCTTTCATGTATTCCGGATTTTTCCCCCGGGCTGTGCCCGCACAGCTTCAGAGGAAAAATGCGCGGTGTCAGTTCTGCGTCGTAGTAGGATGGCCGTCGGAAGGCCGAAAAGAAGAAAAAATACAAACCTTCCAAACACGTTTGGGTAATCAATGATTTTGGCCTCTTCGGGGCTTCCTGGAGAACCTCTTGTTGGCCTCTTGGGCCGTCTTGGAGACCTCTGGGGCCGTCTTGGAGGCTTGTTGTGTGAACGCGGAGGCGTCTTGGATCCTCTTGGGCCGTCTTCGAGGCCATCTTGGACCATCTTGGGCGAACTTGGAGGCAATCTGGAACCCTCTCTTTGGCCACCTTGGGCGCTCTAGCGGGTCGCGCACCCCCATGCGCATGTATTGTCGTGGACTGCCCTGGAAGTACAGCTTCCTACTGATTCTTGGATTTTTCCCCCGAGCTGTGTCCGCGCAGTATCGGGGGAAAAATGCGCGATGCCAGTTCTGCGTCGTAGTAGGAGAGCGGAGGGAGAGGAGGAAGAGTAGGACGAGAAGGGAAAGGAGGAGAAGGAGGAAAACGAGGAGGAGGACGAGGAGGAAGAGCAGGAATACGAGGAGCAGGGCGCGGAGGCAATAGTCAAAAGCAGAGGGGCCGCGGCTCCCCATGCGAATCTAAATAGCCTTGATCACGGAAAAGACGTACTGTCGTGGACTGCTCTGGAAGTACAGCTTTCATTTATTCTGGATGTTTCCCCTTGGCTGTGTTCGCACAGCTTCGGGAGAAAAATGCGCGGCGTTAGTTCTGCGTCGTAGTAGGATGGCCGTCGGAAGACTGAAAAGAAGAAAATACACAAACCCTCCAAACATTTTTGGTAATCAATGATTTTGGCCTCTTCGGGGCCTCCTGGAGAACCTTTTGTTGGCCTCTTGGGCCGTCTTGGAAGCATCTGGGGCCGTCTTGGAGGCTTGTTGTGTGAACGAGGAGGCGTCTTGGACCCTCTTCTTGGGCCGTCGTCGAGGCCATCTTGGACCATCTTGGGCGAACTCGGAGGCAATCTGGAACCCCCTCTTGGGTCATCTTGGACGCTCTAACGGGTCGCGGTCCCCCATGCGAATCAACCGGCCTCCTGCTCCATAGTGGTCTGGTCACTTCCGCCTGAGCCATCCTCGCAACTCTAGATTCAGAGACGCCCTGAGCTCAGGTATTCAGGCCGTTTCGCTTGAAGCATTCTCGCAACTCAAGGTTCCCAGATGCTGAACTCGGAGATGCATTGACCCAAGGTTGTCCGGCCACTTACGCCGCGATTTGCATGTAATGACTCGCATATACTGCGTGTCTCGTATATGCGCCGCCACTTGCCAAAATTACAGGTTCACTTGATTACCCATTTATGTGATAACAGGTTTGCCAGATACCTTGTTTGCCCGATGACGGGTTTGCCATATAACAGGTATGCATCATACAACACGTTTGCATGATAGCATGGCTGCATGATAACATGTTTGCCAGATGACGGGCTTGAGAAAGTACAGGTTCGCTTGACGACGCGTGTCCGTGATTGGCAAGGCACGGACTTACGGTCTCACGTACCCTCTTCCTACAAAACCCAATCGCACACCTCCCTCCCGCATACAGACACGACTATCCATGACTATAGCAAACGCAGCATGATGACGATGTAAAAAAGCTGCGGCAAGCGCGTCGTACGCGATTACGCAGCGCGCGTTCCTTGCGCACGCAGTGCGTTCAGCGCGTCGTACTCTCGCGTTCGCGCGACCAAAGTTCAGCGAAATATTGCAGGCGCGCGTCGCCGCGCGCCCTGCCGTTGCTCGCGGCGCTTCGTCGCGCGCGCGCGCGAATGCGACGCGTCGAGCCGCGCATTCGACTTCAAACCGCGCCTGGCGCATATGCGTTCGACGTGCTTTCTCGTTTGGCGTGTTATCGTCGGGTATTTCTTGCTGAAGTTCCAACAGTAGCAGCAAGGGTGCCCGACGACGCTCCAAACGGTAGAACGCGTCGAACACGTATGCGCCCAACGCGCGCCGTTGCGAACCGCGCGGCGTTGCGTCGTTTTCGCTCGTTCGCCCCAAGTAGCGAGGCTGGCAACCGCGCTCGGTTGCACCGCGTAGCGAGCGCTACGTTTCGCGCGGTCGGCGCATCCAACTACACAGCCCCCGACGAGCCTCGGGTGCCCGCGGGGCGCGGCGGATTTATTACAGCTCACGCGCTGAGAAGCCCATGCGGGGATGGCGGATACGTTTGTCTCTGCGTCTTGGGGGGGTTCTTTGGTTACTTGGGGGTCTCTTTGGGGAGCCTTTGGGAGCTTGACTTTGGGCGAAGGCGTTTCTAGGAGAGCGTGGACCCCAGACAGTGAATCAAACACGCAGAAACAACATGCTCTGGTAGGCCAAATACTTGAAACACAAACACCATCATTAACACTGACACTTGCGGCATGACACGAAGTGCAAGCCATGACCAGTTGGATTCGAAGACGCGTGGTGTCAGATATTCGGTGTGATTCCAAGCCCACATTATGTATTCTGCTGCCGTTTTGGTTGTACAGCTAAGCCTCGTGCTTTCTGGCGCCGTGCAGATCCAATCCATGTCTGACATCGATGGTGCTTCTCCGGTCAATGAACTTGGTGACGCCAGGGCCGCCGACGTTGACGGCCCGCGCCCCCCTTGGCGTCGTCGCATGGGGCCGCTCGTGCTTGGCCCACTGACATGTTTCCTGATCGTGGCCGGCCCTGGATGCCATTGGGCTAGACTGTTCCAGCGCGAGGAGAGGGCACATTTGGGGAGGCCGCTGCGCGACAACCACGTCGTTGGACTCATCGTCGGACATTGGCAATTCTTCCAGGAGGTCCCTGAAAATTCGTAGTTCCTAGATGAGCTGAGGTTGCTCCAGGCTGCCGTGCGCCGCGGAAAGGGCAGGAGGTTTGTTTTTTTCTAACATATGTTGCGAGGGCCAGGTTTACATTTCATGATGTGGCAGATTTCCGCGAGCAATCTCCAGGAGAACTGTTTCAGAGACTATTGCCGTTGCAGGGAGAGTGCCCAGAAGGTGGAGTGACTACTTGTGGCGAGTGGGTTCGATTGATGTGTGACGCTCAGAATGGTGGCAAAGCGCTCCCCGTGGAGGTGGCGAGGCTAGGATATCATGTTGCTACGTCGGCAGAGGGTTCAGACTGGTACTTTTGGCATGCCACTGCGTTGGGATGGGGCTTCTCTCGGCGACCCGTCATCGGCAACGCGCCCACCCTCAGGCAAGTGAATCACGTCATGCAGGAGTTTGGGCCATTCGATTTTGATCGCTTCGAGTCTGCATTCTTGGACCTGCCAGGGGCGGTAACCCACGACTCCAGGAGCAAGCCTGTTCGAACAATTCTTGATTGGTTGGACGCGACGCGAGACTTGAAGCAAATGCGGATGAAGGATGCAGCTTGTGAAAAATGGAATAAGATCATCAGTGGAGCACGCGAGGTTGAAAACGCGCCGATTGAGGAGACGGTGGGCTACAATGTGTTGCGGTACGCTCGGGTACGGGTCGACTGCGTGGCCATGTTGTTGTGGAGGGAGCGGTTCGCCAGGCTCGACGGCGACGGATTCGATATACATTTGCACAGCGATGGGTCACCACAATGGGCTGGGGTGGAATTGTTCGCGTCCACGTTCGATATATTGACACCTTGCGCGCAGGGCCCGAGCAAGTATCATGTGGACAGGCGCCTGCTTCCGTTGATCAGCATCGGCATGTCAATGTTCAGTGCGCTTGGGAAGTGTTTCGCGCTCCTCTGGCAGGTCTTCCTCATAGCTGGGCCGCGCTTCGAAGATGTTCGCAAATTTCTTAACATAGTACGCTCGCTGACAGTTGACTTCGGCACTGAGCGGTTGCTGGCGGATTACGAGGACGTCCTGCCGTGGTTCTTCGGGTCCTGAGGCGGCGTGGTGCCGTCGAGGTTTTCGCAATTCAGTCATTTGCTGCCGCGTTGCTTGTTGGCTCCAGGGTGGCGGCGCACGGTGGATCGCATCATCGGGCGAACGCGTGGCGGCTTGCCTGTCTTCCCCCTCTTTCTCCGCAGAGTCAAAGCCATCAACAATTTCGCGAGGCACTATAGGTTGGATTTGACACGGCTGCTCAAGGATGTGGAGGCGTTCGGCGCGGCCGATCTTGTGCAGACTGCGTCTTTGCCATATTTTGCGGAGTGGAGGTGGGGAACTTTACATGGCGTCTTGAAGTCGCTCGAATCCTGCATCGCGGCCGTCGTGGCGTCGATTGACCTCGGCGCGTTTATCAAGTGGCAGACGGCAACCAAGATGGTCAAAGACGTCCAGGAGGCATTCGGATCGGGGCAGTTTCACATTGAATTGAAGTTCGTGGTGTGGTTTACCAGTTGGTTGACTGAGTTGCAGAATGCAGCGACGTGGTGTCCTTGTCATTTGGGAGCTTGCAAGAGGAAGGAGTACCCTGACTGCAACATGCGAGGCCGTATACTGCCAATCGTTCCGGATATCAGATCACATTTCCTTGCTGAATCCATTGCTACGATAGAACAGTGGACGATCACGCAGTGGAGAGATGCAAATACATTGAGGCTTTTGCAAGGCAGCGCGCGGTGGGCGCACGGCCTGATTCTCGAGGTCGCACGGTTTGCAGATATGATCCCGCACCTTTTCAGCCGACTTGATCAGCCTCATGTGAAGGAGGAGTGCGTTCGCCAGTACACGTCGGAAAGCCACGACCAGCATCATAGAGTTTCGCAGTATTTCATGGACCCCGCTGGCCCCATGCGGCGACTAGTTGATGAGGTATCGGAGGCAGGTGAGATCAACGATGAGCATCTCAAGAGGGAGGTCGAGTCCGTCGCCAACATCAGTCTTGACGACAATGTGAATGAGAGCCCCCACGCACACGTCAAGCGCGAGATGGGCAGATGCCGTCCAGCACTCTTTCCTTGGAATGCGTCTTCTTGCAGGTTGAACCAAAACCTAGAGGACCTGAAGTACTTAGGTTCTGGAGGGGACTCGGAATTGCAGAAGTTATTGAACGTTTGCTCGTCGACCATCCAGGTGGAGAGTAGGAAGCTTGGGCGCAACCCACGGTGTACGAAACAAGTGTTCACGGACAAGCTGTACATGGTGCTCAGCGGCTTCCGCGACGGCTTTGGCGAGGGCGATGCCGAGCAGGATGACGATGGGGATGACGATTGCCCGACCTTCGACGATGTCGACGGTGGTGGCGGAGCTCTCGTCGCGCGCCGACCTCCGAAGCGTCCTAAGCCAGATGTTGCTGCCACTGGCGACGGCGGAGGTCGACGTCGGCTTCGCGATCAGGTCGACATGGCGATGCTTGTGCGTGAGTGGCTGATCAGCTCAATCAAGCAGTTCGAGTATCTGAGCCTTTGGACTATCAACGCCGATGGCAACATGCAGATCAGAGTATTCCAGATCCTGAGTTGTAACGTCAACGTCGTGAGCGTCACGACGTTCGAGAGCACCAAGCCCAATGAGTTCGGCTTGAAGGTCTGCGTCCAAGAGCTGGAGGTGTGGAAAGTGGACACCATACGCTACGACACGAATCTGATTGACGTGTTCACGGGCTCCCCTCCAGAGCATGTCGACATGCTCGGCCTCGTTGGCACAGACGAGAGGAACAGGCGCCAGATGAAGTACTGGACTTGGGCCGAGTCTGACTTGGACGGCTGCCTGGCGCTCGCTTCTCCACGACCGCGCTGCCCGACGGTGGAGCTCAAGGACGCGCCTGTCCTGACTTTGCTGGAGGACCGACGCCACAGGGGATGGAGGGATGAGGGATGCGTGTCAGCGCGGCAACGGTGGAGGAAGGAGAAGACAGGCTAGCGGAGGAAGGGGGGGCAGGAGGAGAGGACGGGTGAACGAGGAGGGGGAGGAGGGAGTTTTGGTTGCTATGATCCATGTTTTCGCCGGGAGTTGGAAGCCAAGGGTTTCGTCGGCTGCGGCCGCATCGTGACCCGCGTCCCAGGCGGCCCCGCAGAGTTCGATCATCGCAGGCTCCCATCCAAGCGTTTTTATCTGTTATGCGTCTTGGCACAGCCGCACCTCTTTAGCAACGGGTGCGTTCAATTCAAGTCGAATGGACCTCAGGCGTACTTCAAGGCATTACTGAAGGATCCAACGGCGGTGCCAGGGCTGCCAGCAATCAAATACATTGAAAATGACGGTGAATCTCACGACGGCCCAGCTCCAGCACAACTACTGGGGCTTCCGACCAGGTCGGCCACGAGTGAGGCGGTGGCGAGAGTTGATGCAGACATCGACGGCGACGATGGCTCCCTCCATCGCGCGCCAGCCCCGCTACAGCTTGCAGATGACGGCGGCTCCAGCGCGCACTCGCACACATCTTCGTCGCACGCTTCTGTCGATGAAGGCTCCGTGGACGGAGACACCGCTGTCGGGCCAGACTCGTGCCCGCTCTTCATCGACGGCATGACCGTCACTCGGGAGTCCCACCTTGGCCGAGGGGACTTCGGACTGAGAGTGAAGTGTTCGAACCCATCTCACGTGAATTGCAGTTGCTACCGATCAGTTAAGCTGTGGACGGAGGAGTTTGGGGTTGATGCACCAGCGTTGTTTCTGAAAACGTGGATGGCCAAGAGTTTGGTCATGGATGGTTTGGCTCACAGGAGGTGGAGGCCAGGCCGCCAGGATGTCAGATTGCATGTCCTTGCGGACTCGTGAGGTGGATGTGCAAGCGTTCGTTGCATGACGGATGTGCCATGGAGCGTTTGGCTCCATGGACTTGTCGTCGGCGTTCCGCCGTGCAAAACACATGCGAACAAATGCTAACGCTATCGTCACAGCCACCTCCGACCCCGAAGAGACGCCCCCAGCACGCCTGCACGACCGCACTGCGATAACCACGCCACGCGCAGCACATACACTAGCAACCTCAAGCGTGCAATCCATGTACAAGCACTGCGCAATCACACGCGTGATAACACCACACTCGCACGCGCGCGGTATATCTTACTGGCCCTAGTTGCGTAAACCTGCCCCGTATGGGGCGGGACCCTGAGGGAGGGCGAAGCCTAAATTAATAAGTCTGGGGGGGGGGGGGGGCTCGGAGTCCGACTTGGCTGGTGGACCCTGCTAGCTGGTATCAGCGTAATGGGGCCCGTTTCGACAAAACCCCAATTTGGGCACCCCCCTTGGCTATGGCCTCGATTGGGCGGGGCCCTTTGGCGTCAGGCCGTTTCGAGCGAGGCGCTGTGGGACGGGGCCTCGCTCCGCGATCCTCGGGGGAGGGGCACCACCAGCGCAAAGCTGGTGGTGCAACTTGTTGGGGCGGGCTTTTCAGTGCGAAAAGCTTCGGGCACATCACCTTGTGGTCTCAGCGTGCCTCGGCTTGCCGATGATTGCGGGATCCAGTGATCGGGCAGGGGGGCGAAAGGGAGCGAGCGGGCTGGCGGGCAATGGTTTCGCGGCTCTGCTCCGCATTGGCTCGATGGCTGCAAGGCGCAGCCGCCGCGAACCGTTCCCGAATTACACACAGCAGGTCGCCGATGCTGAAAACAGCCCAACGAGAAACCGCCACTAAGGCTCGTTGGGGCAACGTGCGCGCAAACGTTGCACCACCGCGCGGTTCGTGGCATCTAACGTGCCACGCGACGTTGCCCGCGTTTGGGTTTGCGCGCGCTCAAGGATCCATTGGCCGTGGCCCGCTCCACATATAATCTGGACCCGCGGGTTGGATGCGGCGCGCCAACAAACAAGTTTACGCTTGAAGCGCACGGAGGCAACCACAACCCCAACCGACGGCCACGTTGAAGTACGAACAACACCTCTCAGGCAACGCAAGCAAGGCTCCGAACCACCCGCGCCGAACTGATGGGGTTCCCAGCATGCGCACAACGCGGCTGGCGGAACCGAAGCGATGCCCCGAGGTTGCCCAGCCGAAATGTACTCGTCATTTACGCTGGTTAACTTTGGCCACAAACCACAAAACCCGAAATGCCCGTAGGCTACGACAGCAACAGGGGTGGATTACGGACGACAAGCGGCGGCGCCATCAAGAGTTTGTCCTGGCTTGCACTTGAACTACGATCGCGACCACGTGAACCACCCTGGGGCAGTCCTGATATGCCCTTACGCTGCGCGCATGCCAACGGTGGGCAACGAGCGACCAACATTTGAACCACCCTGAACTAGTTCTGAACAGCGATTGAACTGCGAGCGCGACGACGTGGGTCAACTTGCATTAACACTGAACTGTTCTTGGGCTACGCAGGTGCCAGCGGTAGGCTACGGGCGACCACAAGCTGAACCACGCTGGCCTAATCCTAAGCTGTTCTTGGGCTACGGGCGCGGCGACCTTCGCGACCTTGGGCTAATCCTGAACTGCTCTTGAACTACACCACCCACAGCGGTGGTTTACGGACAAGCAGCAGAGGCACGCTGAACTACTCCTGAACTACAACTGAACTACAAGTGCGACGACCTGAACCGCGCTGAACTAGTCCTGAACTACCCTTGAACTACAGCGACGCCTTTGATGGGCGATGGGCTGTCACAAGCTGCACCACGCTGAACTACTACTGCACTATTCTTGAACCACCAGAACAAGGACCTGAACTACCCTGAACTAGTCCTGAACTACCCGTGAACTACACGGCCGACAGCGACGGACCGAAGGCGTTACGGGGTTGAGCCACGCTGAACTGCTCCCGAACTACTCTTGAACTACGCTCGCGACGACCTGAACCACGCTGAACTATTTGTGAACTATCCTTGAACTACATGGATGCGAGCGGCGGGCGGCGGGCGACCACAAGCTGAACCGCCCTGAACCAGCCCTGAACTACACTTGATCTACATGCGCGACGACCTGAACCAACCTGAACTACTCTTGAACTAGTCTTGAACTGCAACGCCCACAGCAGCGGTGGTATATGGACAAGCAGCAGCGGAACCACGCTGAACTACTCCTGAACTACCCTTGAACTACAAGCGCGACGATCTGAACCACCCTGAACTAGACCTGAACTGCCCTTGAACTACAGCGATGCTTGCGATGGGCGATGAGCGACCACAAGCTGAACCACGCTGAACTAGTCTTGCACTACACTGGAACTACAAGCGCGAAGACCTGAACTACCCTGAACTAGTCCTGAACTACCTTTGAACTACACGGCCGACAGCGGCGGACCGAAGTCGCCCAGGGGCTGAACCACGCTGAACTACTCCTGAACTACTCCTGAACTACGCGCGCGACGACCTGAACCACGCTGAACCACTCTTGAACTACTATTGAACTACATTGGTGCGAGCGGTGGGTGACGGGCGACCGCAAAATGAAACACCCTGAACTACTCCTGAACTACTCTTGAACTACGCGCGCGGCGACCTGAACCAACCTGAGCTACTCTTGAACTAGTCTTGAACTACACGACCGAATGCGACGGGCCGAAGGCATTCAGGGGTTGAACCACGCTGAACTACCCCTGAACTACACTTGGACTACGAGCGCGACGGCCTGAACCACGCTGAACTACTACTGAACTACTCTTGAAACACAGCGCGGGCAGGAGTGCACCATGGATCAGCACAAGCTGAACCACTTCGAACTAGTCCTGAATTACACTTGAACTACGCGCGCGACAGCCTGAACCACACTGAACTACTCTTGCACTACGCTTGAACAACAGCGTGCACAGGCGTGTGCCATGGACTAGCACAAGCTGAACCACCCTGAACTAGTCCTGAACTACACTTGAACTACGCGCGCGACAACTTGAACCACCCTGAACTACCCCTGATCTACTCTTGAACTACAGCGCTCACGACGGTGGGCGCGTGGCTGCCAGTGGTCGAACCACCCTGAACCACTGCAGCACTTTTCGCCAACTACGATTGCGACGACGTTAGCTACCCCGAACTAGGCCTGTACTTCTTTTGAATTGCGCGGATGCGGGCGGCGGGCTACGGACGACCACAAGCTGAACCGCGCTGAACTACCCCTGAACTATTCTTGAACTACGAGCACGACGACCTGAACCACCCTGAACTAGCCTTGAACTGTTCTTGAACTACATTGATGTCAGTGGTTGGCGATGGACAAGCAGCAGCTGAACCACGCTGAACTGCTCCTGAACTACCCTTGAACTACGAGCACGGCGACCTGAACCACCCTGAACTAGTCCTGAACTGCTCTCGAACTACAGCGATGCCTGATGAGCGATTGGCGACCACAGACTGAACCACGCTGAGCTACTCCTGAACTACCCTTGAACTACAAGCGCGGCGACCTGAACCACCCCGAACTAGCCCTGGACAGCCCGCGACCTACAATATTTACATTGTGCGCGCGCGGGCTGCCATAGGCTGAACCAACATGAACTAGTGCCGAACTACTGGCGACTTACGCGCGAGGCGACCTGGACCACCCCGAACTTCAACTGAACTGCCCTGGGTCTACGCTAAGAACGGCGGTGGCGCACGGGCGTCCGCAGTCTGATCCACCCCGAGCTTGCCCTGAACTGCGTTTGAACTGCGCGCGCGACGGCCTGAACCACCTTGAACCAGCCCTGAAATGCATTTGAATTGTTATTCCGGCAGCGGGGGGCGGCTTGCGATCAAGTCCACCACGTCGAATCACACTTGAGGTGCACGTGAGCACCACCTCCATGTTCCCACGAGCGGGGCTGGACGGGTGGGCTGCGGCCGCGTCGCGAAATACGAGGGTGCTTCGCGACGCTCTCCTCGCACCAATGGTGGCGCGTGTCGCGCCGCTGCTGGCAGTGACGGTGGAAGCGCGTTGCTTGGGCGCTTGCCCCGCGCGTTCAAGTCGAGACGGCGGGGCGCCGTCGGCGCGCCTTGGGGCGCCAAGCGCCGCCGCGCTCGCCAACCGCCTCCCTATGCCAGCGGCGTGGTGTCCAACTCGAGGGTGTCACCGGTTGGGGCTCCTGTTCGGACGCGCTGCGGGACGTCGGCGGTCGTCGATGGCGTCGGCTCGCGGGGCGGCAGTGTGCGCGACAATTCTGTGTGCGGCTGAGTGGTGCGGAGGCTCGATGTGTATGAAACCATGTGATTTCATATGTTTCCGCGCGTGTCGGTTTGTATGCGGTGGGCGGCTGCGCGGCCGCAGTGCGCACGCCGCCCGCCGTCGCGGGCGGCGACGCAGTGCGCCGCGCCAGTGGTGTCTTCATGTGCGCGGGGCGGGTGGCGAGGGGGGCGCTGCTCGGCGGTCTACGCGGCGCGCTTGGAACTCGCGCGCGCAGCGCTCCGCACGCGCGGCGGGGGCGGCTGTATTGGGGGGGGGGGGGGGGTGCGCGCGGCAGCCTGACGTCCATAGCCAGCCTTTCGTTGGCCATCTTGCACTGCGACCCCATCGTGTTCGCAAGGGTTTTCGCTATCGCGGGCATCGCGTGGGCGCGCCTTGGGTGGAATCCGCGAGTTGTGGGGCGCGCGCCAACCGCGTCGAATGACGTTGCGACGCAAATTGTCTAGGCCTGAACCGCGCGGGCGATTTCCGCGCGCAGCCTGAGGGGCGCGGTGTATACATGCGCTGTCAGACGACGCCAGTAGTGCATCGAGGGTGATCAGGGGCCACAGCCCCTGAACCCCGTCGGGGCTATGCGGGGCGGGCGGTCGCGATCACCTGGCAGACTTTGAACTACCCCTGATCTAGCATTGGCTACGACGGCAAGGGTAGCGGAGCAAGGCCGCCTAGAGGCGGTAACGCCTTGACCTGGTCTTGAGCCAGTCTTGAACTACGCGCGCGACGACCTGGACAACCTTGAACTATTCCTGGGCAACTCTTGACCTACAGAGCTCACGGGCGCGAGCCACGGGCTGGCGCAAACCGAACCATGTTGAACTAGTATTGAACTACACTTGAACTACGCGCGCGACGGCCTGAACCACCCTGAACTATTCCTGAACTACTATTGAACTACAGCGCGCACAGGCGCGAGCCACGGGCTAGCACAAGCTGAACCACGCTTGATCTAGTCCTGAACTACACTTGAACTACGCGCGCGACGGCCTGAACCACATTGAACTACTCTTGAACTACTCCTGAACTACAGCGCCCACAGGAGTGCACCATGGACTCGCACAAGCTGAACCACTTTGAACTAGTCCTGAGCTGCACTTGAACTACGCGCGCGACGGCCTGAACCACACTGCACTACTCCTGAGCTGCTTTTGAACTACAGCGCCCACGACGGTGGGCCATGGATAAGCACAAGCTGAACCACTTTGAACTAGCCCTGAACTGCACTTGAACTACGCGCGCGACGGCCTGAACCACCCTGAACTACCACTGAACTACTTTTGAACTACAGCGCTCACGGCGGTGGGCCAACGGCGACCGCGGGCTGAACCAAATTGAACTAGTCCTGAACTACACTTGAACTACGCGCGCGACGGCCTGAACCACCCTGAACTACTACTGAACTACTTTTGAACTACAGCGCCCACAGGAGTGCAGCGACAACCGCCAATGGCTGAACCACATTGAACTAGTGCTGAACTACACTTGAACTACGGGCGCGACGGCCTGAACCACCCTGAACTATTCCTGAACTACTCTTGAACTAGAGCGCGGACAGGAGTGCACCATGGATCAGCACAAGCTGAACCACTTTGAACTAGTCTTGCATTACACCTGAACTGCGCGCGCGACGGCCTGAGCCATCCTGAACTAATCCTGAACTGCTCCTGAACTACAGCGTGCACAGGCGTGCACCATGGACTCGCACAAGCTGAACCACTTTGAATTAGTCCTGAACTATACTTGAACTGCGCGCGCGACGGCCTGAACCACCCTGAACTACCCCTGCACTACTTTTGAGCTACAGCGCCCACAGGAGTGGAGCAAGAGCCACCAATGGCTGAACCACCTTGAACTAGTCCTGAGCTACACTTGAACTACGAGCGCGACGGCCTGAACCACGCTGAACTACTATTGAACTACTCTTGAACTAGAGCGCGGACAGGAGTGCACCATGGATCAGCACAAGCTGAACCACTTTGAACTAGTCCTGAACTGCACTTGAACTACGCGCGCGACGGCCTGAGCCACCCTGAACTACTCTTGCACTACTCTTGAACTACAGCGTGCGCAGGCGTGCCCCATGGACTACGACAAGCTGAACCACTTTGAACTAGTCTTGATCTGCACTTGAACTACGCGCGCGACAGCCTGAACCACCCTGAACTACCCCTGAACTACTCTTGAACTACGGAGCTGACAGGCGTGCGCCATCGACTAGCACAAACTGGACCACTTTGAACTAGTCTTGAACTGCACTTGGACTGCGCGCGCGACGGCCTGAACCAAACTGAACTACCCCTGCACTACGCTTGAACTACAGCGCTGGCAGACGTGGGGAGGCGCCCAACGATGACTGAACCAGTTTGAACTAGTCTTGAACTACACTTGAACTACGCGCGCGACGGCCTGAACCACCCTGAACTACCCCTGAACTACTTTTGAATTACAATGCTCACATGAGTGGGTCGGGCGACACCAAGGCCAGAAACATTTGAACTAGTCTTGAACTACACTTGAACTACACGCGCGACGACCTGAACCACCCTGAACTATTCCTGAACTACTCTTGAACTACAGCGCTCGCGACTGCCAGCCATGGACTAGCACAAGCTGGGCCACTTTGAACTAGTCTTGAACTACACTTGAACTTCGCGCGCGGCGGCCCGAACCACACTGAACTACTCCTGAACTATTCTTGAACTACAGCGCCCACGACGGTTGGTCATGGACAAGCATAAGCTGAGCCACGTTGAACTAGTCCTGAACTACACTTGAACTACGCGCGCGACGGCCTGAACCACCCTGAAGTACCCCTGAACTACTTCTGAACTACAGCGTGGCAGGAGCGTTCCACGGACTAGCACAAGCTGAACCACCCTGAACTAGCCCTGAACTACACTTGAACTATGCGCGCGACGGCCTGAACCACCCTGAACTACTCTTGAACTGCCCCTGAACTACAGCATTCACAGGCGTGTGGCATTGGCGAGCACAGGCTAAACCACTTTGAACTAATCTTGGACTATACTTGAACTACGCGCGCGACGACCTGAACCACCCTGAACTACTCCTGAACTACTCTTGAACTAAAGCGCGCACGGCGGTGATCCATGGTCAAGCACAAGCTGAACCAAATTGAACTAGTCTTGAACTACACTTGAACTACGCGCGCGACGGCCTGAACCACCCTGAACTACCCTTGAACTACTTTTGAGCTAAAGCGCGGGCAGGAGTGCACCACGGACTAGCACAAGCTGGACCACCCTGAACTAGTCCTGAACTACACTTGAACTACGCGCGCGACGGCCTGAACCACATTGAACTACTCTTGAACTACTCCTGAACTACAGCGTCCACAGGAGTGTACCATGGACTCGCACAAGCTGAACCACTTTGAACTAGTCCTGAACTGCACTTGAACTACGCGCGCGACGCGCGGAACCACCTTGAGCTACCCCTGCGCTGCTCTTGACCTGCTCTTGACCTGCGCTGCTCTTGACCTGCGAAGTCGTTACTTGCATCTTAGCAGCGCGCGCGAAGCCCTGCAAGAACGTCACGTCGCCTTGGGCTAAGATTGAACAGCCACGCCCACTGCAATGACGCCTGGGCTACCAAGCGCCGGCTACGTTGAACGGGGCTTGGGCTATTCTAGAACTGCACGCGCAAAGGGCTGCGCCGTTTCGACATGTTCTTGATCGGCGCATGGACTGCGGCGGTGGCAGCAGTAGGCCATGGGGGGAGAGTGGTACGTCCGCCCTGAGCGGATGCTGTGGTATTCTGAAACTCAGAAGACGACGGCCTGACCCATCTTGCGCTAGCATGGGCGACTCGCGCGCTGCGCCGCAGGCAAAGACGGGCTGCCGGCCGCCGAGAGAGCAGCTGCTTTTATTCATCTGCGCTTGGTCAATTCTTGAGCTGTGATGCGCGCTCACAAATCACCCTGTGCTACACGTGAGACAGAACGTGTACACTGCGCTTAGATGCCGACGCGCCGTGGCATGACCATCTGGTATGATACGCCCGCGCTACAAGCCCAAATCATCATGGCCAATCATTGTGCCACTTTGGGGTTCGGGGCGGCAAGCACTTGTTCGGTTCCGACTGAGAGCAAGGCAACATGCCGCGGCGACTTAGCGTCGCGTAGCCATGCGCTCCAGCAAATTAGCGCTCCGTGGCACGGGCACGAGGTGCGCGCAGGCTCGTCTCTGCCATCGCTGGGCTATGGCGGGCCAAGTGCATAGCCGCGCACGGCTTTCCCTGGGCGGCGATTGGTTTGCGCGATCGATTGCCCAAGCCACCTCGAAGCATTGATGAAGTACTGCTGTTCTGGCCCCGAGAGCGGGCCATGCTTGCCCGACAGCAGCATTCCCCACATTGCCGCGCTGCTGCGCTGAGGTTGGGGCTGCGAAGTCCTTAGGCCTAGGCCCTGCAGAAATGCAAACGACACGCGTCGAGTCCTACGCGCATGGCCACGCGAATCGCAAAGCCGTTCTGGACCTCACTTGGGCCAGACACCGACAGCGTTGAGCTGCGGGCGCAGGGGTGCCTGGCCCAAGTTTGCTGCTCCCATCGCATGCTCAGTCGTGCGGAGGAACAGCAAATTATCATTGAGTTTCGCCAGACGCATGTCGGCGATGCCCCGACGACGTCGCCTTGCGTGTTGTTCCTACTACAGTGGGTCGTCAGCGTTGTCTTCTTGGGCGAAGCCAGCGACAAGGCCTGTGCTTCCAGTGTTTGTCGACCTGGTTTTGCGGACGTTCGGGGTGCCCGATTCGCCACGTCGCGTGACCATCAGCATGCGCGACCGAAAAGGGTCGCGGCGCAGTTTACAGCGTCCAGCGATGGCCACATTCATTCGCTTCAGCGCAGCCCGCGCGAATCCACGACGTGACGCGCAATGCAGCGCGCGAGCAAGAGTACCTAGCTTTGCTTAAGCCAAGGCTAACATATCGTGCCGTAAACAGAAAGCTGTACAAACAAGTTAGCGGTATGCGCTTAACCAAATATGCGCTCTCACAATAAAGGCCACTTGCTGCACGGACGCGCGTCGCACTTACAGGCGCCACGCGTATGGCGCATTCGAGGCACAGCGCAGCGCCAGTATACATTGCAGTGCATACAGCACGCGCGCTGGGCATGAGCACACACCAACGAATATCACTGGCTGGCGAGACCCCCCCAACGGGCCTCTGCAAGGGTTCTGGGGCTCTCAAAGTTCACGTGGTTGCAAATCACATGTTGCTGTCGCTTGTCGGCGCTGCGCTACGTGTTATGTTTTCTCGAGGATGCATGCGCCAACGTTTCGCAATGATGGGGGTAGATTGTCTAAGCGTGTTGTTTCTGAGGGCTCTCGCAGTTGGTCTCTTTCAAGAAAGCCCTAAGGCGGCGCGTCCGCACTCTGACTTGGTTGCTCGAATGTAAAGAACACAAGCGGTTTCACGCCGACTTCTCGCGACCACGGCGTTCGAGGCCGCGGCGCCACATCTGAAGACCCGATGCGGCGTTGAGGCCCCGACCGCCGCGTTGTCCGGGACGGACGACGTGAAACCGCGAAAAAAGTGGTCAGTCGGTACCAGGGCGTTGTTGTTTTTTGTTTTCTCGTGGCCTATTGGGGTCCCTCGGGGCCTATCCCAAAAACTGTTCGGCGGGAATCTCTGTCGTGCTGGGGGCTTGTTGTTTGGAAAGGCCGCAAGTTCCCCCCAGGGCTCAAGCGGACGGAAACCAATGAAATGTCCAGCGGCATGGCCGTCATTATGACCGCACGATCCGTGAGAGCAACATTTGGATTTCGAATTCTCCATTCGCTTCCGTATCGTAGCCATTATGATTCAGGGTTGTTTTCTCGACGCACCTTGCGGCCCAGGGTGAGGTGCGCGTCTCTTCACTTAACGGAGCGCCCCTCAGCAACCATGTCCGTCTCTGGAGACGACGTTGACGCAGCGGAGATGCGGCCTCCTACAGCCCCGCCAGTGGCTCGCAGGAGGAGTTCTGCCAGCGATCATGCTGCTCACACCAAGGCCGAGTTCGCAGGCGCATGCTACTTCTGCCAGGAGCCGTTGCGCCCTAAGGACAACACCAAGACATGGCACGGCTACGTCTTCCACGCTAGCCCGTGCTGGAACAACATTCGGGCTCGCCAGCGCGTCTGCTATACCACCCAGAACGGCCTCAGGCGCGAGCTCGAGTTGATGAACGGCGATCCTGAGAAGTGGCGCTGCGAGGCGATGCAGTTCGATCGGCCTCACTTGGATAGCAACCGATTGCATGCGCGCGAAGCTCTGACGAAGCAGCTTGCAGACTACGTGCTCGAGCTGCAGCGCATGGCTGAGCTGACCTTGACTGACACCGCGAAGTACACCAAGGCACAGTACAAGAAGGCGAAGTTGAGGGGCATGGATTCGGACGAGGCGAGCGCCGACTGGGACAGTGAGTACGCAGAGCACCCGACGGTCAACAAGAAGGGCGAGACGTGCATTGCCATTGAGGGCCCCGAGGTGACCAGGAAGTTGGAGGGGACGGAGCGCCAGGGCGTGAAGCGAGGTCTGATCGAGTCGGCGCCTGGAACCTCCTCTTGGAGCTCAGGGGCGGCGTCTTCTGGTGGCGATGGGGCTAGTCCAGCTTCGGGGCGAACTGGCGGGAAGAGCGGCGCCAGCCTGACGGAGATGAACATCCAGCGCCTCACGGATGCATTCAATGAGATTAGAGAGGATGACGTTATCTCAGTGGTGAGCACGCGCGCTCGCGGTTCACGCGGCGCCCGCTTGGCGCCGCAGCTGCAGCCGTCGCAGGGCTTCCTGAAACAGAAGGATGACATCGGCACCACGCTTCGGGAGATCGTCTCAAGCATCGACGGCAGCAAGAAGGAGATCGGCGCGATCAAGAAGCTCCAGGCGCTGCACACCAAGGCCGTGGAGAAGAACATTGGGGTGGGGGGTCTACCTCATGACGTCAGCACGGTGATCGGCGACCTCTCTCGCGTGAGCTCGTTGGCCAAAGGCGAGCTCGAGAAGATCGGCCCCGCCAAGGTGGATGCAGTTCCATCTCTCGAGGAGGCGCTAACGAACATCCAGAAGCAGAAGTCCACGTGCCTCGAGCAGGTGCAAACTCTCACGGATCAGTTGAATTTCAAGTTCCAGAAGGCTTGCTCTGAGCAGAGGTCCGAATACCAGAAGAACCGCTGGGAGAAGACGAAGATCCAACATATGCTCAGCAAAGGAGGCTTTGGCCTGAACTTGTCCAAGTGGGCGTCGGAGCAGATCCACAGCACGGATAGCTTTAGTGGCGCCAGCACGGATGGCATGATCTGTTTGTGTGAGAAGGCGCAGCTCAACCCCGAGGACGGTTCCTTCGACGTGGCCAAGCTGGCTCTCTTCACGGGCGAGAGCCCCAACGAAGACTGCCAGTCGCATAGTGTGTGGTGGGGCATGAAGTTGCTGCTGGACGATGCCGCGAAGGTCTTCATCGACAGCAAGATCACCAGCATGAAGGCTGAGATGGCCAACCACCCGCTGTGGCCAGGTGCGATGGGGGGGGTGTCAGATTGCTTCGCAAACGTCGACGCGGTCGCCACCTTGGGCGCGCAGAGCACCAAGGAGAAGGGCTCGGAGTGCTGGCTCGTGTGTGCGAGAGCTGGCGTCTATCGCATTGGTCCTCAGAGCGTGCCCATGCCAGGCACGCCATCGATCCTTGTCGCCATGGACAAGCCGCTCTTGGTCCACGCCGTGCGCATGAAGGACTTCTTGGGCCAGGGCATCGCCGTGAACAACTACGAGCAGTTCCTCGCGACAGCGACGGGAGCAGACATCATCAAGCAGTCAACGTTGGTGATCGTCAACCCAGGGGACAGCTTGTACGTTCCCACGGCGTGGTGGTGGTCCTTGACGGTGATCGCGGGGCTCCGCGACACGGTTGCATCAGACGAGTCGAGGGCGAAGGGGCCACCGAAGGCGAAGGCGAAGGCTTCCGCCACGGCTCCAGCTCCAGGTCAGGACACGGTCGGCATGGCCACGGTGGTGCCAGTCTACTCCCCGTCGCTTTGGGGCGCCGCCCAGAGCAATGAGCAGGGGGCGATCGTCGCTTTGAACAAGGCCCACTTCGACACGAAGAAGTGTCGTGCGATGTGGGATGAGCGTGCCGCGGCATTCGGACAAGTGTTTGCCACCTCGTCGGTGAGATGGAGCTTCGAACCTAACAAGGCCCATGGCTGCGCGCTCTGGGTCAACGCATGGCAGTCCCAGCTGGTGGCACGGACATTGATGCGAGGCCCTTGCAAGCTCAGGGTGGAGTGTTTCATCAGACATGGGCGCCCGAGATCCCTTCATCAGGGCGATCGCCGTGGCATTTCATTCATTGCCTCCCCCACCTCATCATGCCAATGTGTTGTTGCATATGTGGAGCTTCGCTCTATGCACCCTGATGTTTATAATACCTGGAGCTTCGCTCTCTGCACCCTGATGTTTACTATTCCCAGAGCTTCGCTCTCAGCACGCCTGGTGTTAAGTATATCTGGGCATTCGCTCTGTAAAGCTTGATTGCATGTCGAATGGCATTCTGGTGCGCCATGCCATTCGACATCCATGTGGCGGGTTGTTGGGTCCGCGTGGCCTTTCAAGGGTGCCTTCGGGGCCCGCGCCCTCGCGAGCAAGGGATGGGGCGGGAGGGCGGGCGCGATATAAGACAACTACGTTGGGATCTGGGGAGGCTGGGGGCGAGGGGCACAGAGGGGCACGGGGTAAAAGGTCGGAAGAACGAACGAGGATGGAGGCATGATACTTGGGCGGGAGGGCGGAACGATCGCCCGTAGGACGTGCGCTGGAGGCGCGGGGGTGGCGGGGGAGGGCGGTCGCGCGGGAGGGGGGCGCGCAGCCGTCACTGACGGCTGTCGTGATCGAGTTCGGCTTTGCCGCTGCGGCATCCGAGCCGTTTACTGGACGAACCGCCCGCGTGCACTCATGGTCCAGCGACGCGCCCGTCGCGCGGAACGAGCGGCCAGATGCTGTGGCCGTGTCACAACGTATGGCCGTCGTTCACGCGCCGCGGGCGCATTGGCGGACTTTGGGTGCGAGCGCGGGGTGCGTCCAGCAAACGACGCACGTGCCGAGGTGGCGGCGCCAGACTCGATCGCGAGTGCTGAAAGTGAATGTTGTCCTGCGTGGCGCGCTTGAGGGTGCTTACGTTGACAACGCGGCCGCGCTGCGCGTCCCATTAGAGCGCGATCTCGCGAGCGCGGGCCTGCGTCAAAAGGCGTTCGGATGTTCGATGCGCTGATCTTGGCGTTGCGGGTTCGTTCGCCTCGCCGCGCAATCGCAAATTGACGACTCGTTCGGGCGTGGGCGCGCGATGCGTGCGCGTCACCACTTGCGAGTAGCATTGCGTCGGCGCGTGCGCTATTCGATGAAAACGTGAATGAATTAGAACATAAAAAACAACGAACACACCGCCGAACTATGCGGCTTGGCAGTGTGTTGTTTTTTTCCGTAGAAGTTACATGATGTGTTGAGCGTTTCTGTAGCGGATGGTTGCTTGCCAGCGCTTTGACCGTAAGTCCGTGCCTTGCCATCCGTGATAACAGGTTTGCCAGAAACATGGTTGCCCGAAAACGGGTTTGCCAGATAACAGGGTTCACCACTCATCACATTTTCCGAAATACCGACGTGCAGATGACACATGTGCCAGATAGTATGTATCCCGTAATAACAGATTCGTCATATAACAGATTTGCCAGATAATTGATGATAGATTGACGCGCGTACAATTGCAAAACATGTTTAGATGGGTTGCCTTGTATATGATTGCCGTTGGCTCAATCTTGTATTCGTGAGATCTTACTGACGTGGCTCAGCTTTGCTGGCCTGTTCACTTTCCGCGTCTTGGCGTGGCTCAGCTTTGCTGGCCTGTCCACTATCAGTAACTATAGGACCAGCTTTGCTGTCCTATCGTCTCGTTGTCATCAATGGCCGCTCCTGTCTCTCGCCAGATCCTGGTGTGTTTCAACCACTTGCTGCCCGACATCGCGGCGCGCGGTGTGCCGCTGGAGAGGCTCGGCTTCAAGCCTGGCGACTGGGGCAGCGGAGTCGCCTCGGCTGTCGCCGTCGACGCGTGGGACTTGGCCGCGCCGCTGGAATACGGATTCAGAGCGACCGATCGCTGCGCCAAGGTCCTTTCCGTGGCGGTGGCGGCGTTGAGTCGCCCAGTTCAGTGGCCGACCATGAATGCCATCGCCCAGCCGCAGTTGGGCCGCCGAACCGTTAAGAGCTGTCCCCGGTGGGCGCAGTCGTGCGCGTGCGCAGTGCCCGCCGGGGGGGGGGCGCGAACAGTGACCGCGCTATCCAGCCAGCCCCGTCGCTCGAGCTTGGCGGTCGTCCTGAGCGACGAGAACGCTGCGGGCCGCGCCGGAGGCTGCTCTCCTGCACGAGTTTCTTGTGTCGCACGGTGCCTGCGACGCCGAGATCTGCGCCGAGGTGAAGGCCACTGCGAGAGCGGCTCCCCGCCTGGCATGCCTGATGGAGAGTTTATCCCTCTCGGATCCGGAGATCGTAGAGAAATGACGCCTGAACAAGGAAGAGGCGGCTAGGCGGGGCACCTGGATGCACTGGACGTTCGAGGCCCACCTCAACCGCGTTCCGGTACCCCGCGACGCCGTGGAGTTCCAGTTATTCCTGAAATACTTGGGCGCGCTGAGAGGTCTGACGGCTTTCCGCGCAGAGTGGGCCATATTCGCCGGGCACGAGGGGCTTGCTGGGTCAATCGATTTCGTGGCTCGAGACTCCGCGGGCAGCTTGTACATATACGATTGGAAGCGGGCGAAGAATTTACGTTCAAAGTACACGAACCCGTTGCAGAATATGAAGTTTCCATTGAGCCGATGGCCAGACTGCCAGGGAAACTATTACCGGGTGCAGCTCAACATTTACAGGTGGATGCTGGAACGTTACTACGGCGCCCGCGTGGCTGCGATGCATGTGGTCTGCCTGCATCCGGACAACGGCGACCAGCCATTCGTGGACGACGTGCCGGTGATCCCAGAGATCGAGGAGCCCATGGCCATTCAACGCACGAGGTCCCGAGAGTTGCGAGCCATGGCATCGGAAGACGCTAGCGAGATGGACCCTCTGGGCGGCTGGCCGCGGCCAGTCGTAGCGGCGCGCTTGCCTTAATGCGTGCGCACCGCGGCCAATTTCGATCGTGCGTTTCGCCGGCCCGCAGTGGAGGTCGCGCCCTGGCGAGGCCGTTGCGATTGCGCGCCGCCTTCATGAGGTGCCGTTGCAGCGGCGCTCAAGCTCTGCGGAAGTAGTGGTGCGCTAACGCAAGATAGAAAACAGTATTTGGTTGTTCGGATAAATGCGTTTGCCAGATAACATTTTCGCGACGTAACAGGTTTTCCAGATAATGCGAATTTCAGCAGAGGCCTGTGTCACAAGTAGTACCAGCACGGGTATATGCTGCCGTCGTCGTCGCAGTAGTACTCAGCACAGAGCAAACCGTAGCTGTTTTTCTCTCAAGGACCATCGCTTTGGCGTGGCTCGGCTTTGCCGGCCTGTCATTTAACTATCTGCATCGCTAGCCCTTGCCGGCCTGCTGCGCTGCCTCGTGGAGGATCGGCATTGCTGTCCTGTGAGTTGTCCTGCACTTTGGCGCAATGGCCACCGACGCGCAGCGCGCTGCCGGCCCCCCGTTTCTGAGCTCGCAGTCCCCTGAGCTGAGCGACCCCACGCCGCGCGGGAGGCCTCGCCAGCGGCGCGCTTACTCTGGCGCCCGCTCGCTGACGCCGGCGCGCAAGAAGCATCGACTGTCCTCGCGGGCTGCGCGCGCGGCTGCAGCGCGAACCCCTTCATCGTCGCCGGAGAGAGACGACGCCGCTGACATCGAGGCTTTCGCGCTGATGGTATCAAGGGTCTCAGATGAAACATTAAATTCTATCATGTCATGCTTCCCTGCCGTGCGGAGACGGACATTAGCGCGTCGTTTCGCACGGGATCAACAGATTCGCCAAGACAGAACGTTTATACTCGTGAGGCCGGTCGGTTCGAGCAGGCCGCGGGCCTCGCGTGGCCCGCGCGGCGCCGGAGTGCCCGGAGCCCTTGCTGTTGTGCCTCGCTGGTTTCAGCCTGCCAACGCAGAACTTGCCTCGGCGACAGCCCCGAGCCTAGTACACGATCGCTGTTTCATTTGCGGGTTGGATGACGGCGACGTCGACGGCATCGGCCACTATCTGGAGGGGTGCGTGGCCACGGTGAGATCATTTCCGTTCCCAAATGTTACCCTTTTGCGCGCGACGACCTCCGCGCGGGCCATGTTGGCGCAGCGGTTGGAACCTCGCGGCGACGCATTCGCGTGCGCGCGGTGCAGCGGGGTCTGCGTCGCCTGGGAAGACACCCTGAACATAGATCTCGCTTCCGATATGCTCGGACTGCACAGGCGACAAGCGGTTTGAAAACAGGGGCGCGAGCCGACTCGCGCCCGCGATTGGACTCGGGGAGACGCGGCGGCGCCGGCGCCATTGCGCGGGCCCCCGTCGAGCTCGGGCCGCGATTTTCGATCGCCACTTTGCGCCGACAAAAGCGCAACATCTCCATCATATCTAGATTCTCTTCCCGCCTTCCCATGTGTCAAACGTGGCGTGGGGCTTTCAAGTCGCTCGATATCCCCACTAGTCGAGCTCTTACACGTTCGACGTCAGTGCCACTGATGGATCGTTGCTTATCTCTCCTCATCGCTCTCCGGCTCAAGACACGCGTTTCCCGTGGGTCGGCTTTGCTGCCCTGTGCTTTCTTTGTCGTGCCACCTGTGGGTCGGCTTTGCCGCCCTGTTTTTTGTTCTACCACCTCCCCGCACTATCTCACATGCGCGGCGCACTCGCTCAGCAGGGGCAGGACGCTGCAAGGCTCGCGCCGGCGCCGACTCGGAGACGGATCAGAGGCAAGAGCGCGGCGGACGACGTCGGCGAGAGCTGGGTGTGCCTCGCGGCCGAGCAGCGCGAGCCCCACGAGCTCGCGGACGTGGGCTCGGCGGAGACACCTGAATCCCCGAGCGGCGATGAGGGTGAGACAGTGGTGCGGACAGAGTTGTTCGACTGCCTGGAAAATGAAGTCAAGAGCTACTCTGCAGGGGTGAAGCTCCTGCGCCCCAAGCGGGACAGCGAGGGCGTGCAGTTGAAATTTGCTTGCGGTTTATGTCCGTTCCGGTCGTTCTCGACGCAGGTACTCCTGGCCGCGCACGTCTCGAAGTACCACCTCAGAAAGACGCGCTTCGTGGCCTCTGGCACGAAGCAGTTCAATGTCGTGTGCGCGTTGTTCGACAACGACCGGCTTCTGCGAGCTCCAACGGGGAACCTTCTGAGGCGGTCTGCAGCGGTCCTGCGGGAGACAGTATCTCCTGCCGTTCATCGCGGACAGAATGCCATTGACAAGGATATTGTCCTAGTTCTCGACGACGACGGGCCCTCGTATCAGAACAAGGCAGCGGTGGGGCAGAATCTCGCGTGCAGACGAGCGGGGTACACGTGCTATACCCGTGGCTTCGCCGATATCCTGTTGCAGGAGTCCTTGCGCCACCATGGGCGCGCGCGCCCGGCGATGCTGCGGGCGTGCGCTCGCGTCGCGGAGCAGGGCTCCGAGTTGAGCAGCATGCTGCCGACCGCCGTTGAGCACTGGCTAGAACTTATGGAAGACGTGTTCAACTGCGCGCACGTAGAGAGGCGCAGCGCTGCGTTGATGGAAGAATGCCACCGACGCAAGGAATTCCTCCACATCTCCATGGACGCCACTATCCGCATTCTGCGCAACGTCAAGGGCCAGGCAGACTATCGGTCTGCACAAGCAGTGCGCGATGCTGCACCCGTGCCAGACGTGGACGCCAAGTGCCGCGTTCTGACTCTCGCGGGCCGGACGGGGGCGGCGCTCGGCGTTTTTTTGACGAAGGACGAGGGGGCTGATGAAATAGCTGGAGCCCTTGCAGCTCGTTGGTCGGCGGCGTGCAGATCGCAGACGGCGTCCGTCGCCAGTGACCAGCCGAGCAGCGCGCTACTCCGTGTCTTGCGAGGTTCATGTTTTCCCAATTTATCGGTCTTGAGCCTCGACCCTGTTCATCTGCCCATCACGTACGAGGAGACGCACTGGAGGAAAAAGACAGTGGGATCGCGATTATTGCGGATACTAGTGGCCAAATTTACGAAGGTGGATTGCACGCTGCCCGCGCACTACTGGGGGGCGCCGTTCGACGGGACGAACGCCCCGAACCTGCAGCCAATAGAGGAGCGCGCGCGAGCACAGATACTCGATCATTCACTGGTGAAGTCGCGAGCTCAATACGTTATCGACAACGTGAACGCCGAGCTGCCATGGAAAACGACGCACGAGTTCATCGAAGCTATCGCCGCGCTGAGCGCATTGGTTCCAGAAGAGCTTGCTCGCCGCACTCGCGTGAATAACGTTCAACTCAAGAGATTGCTTTACAATGCGACCGCCCCAGCCCGCATGCAATGGTTCTTCAATAATCAGCGATTCAGGCATTCCTTGCCGGCGGCGCGCTCAGCCCTGTTGGGGTCTGGCACGTCCGTCAACAAACCCTTCGACCACGAAATCAACGCGTGGTTTCGCAACCAGGGAGACTTCTACGCTTCGACGGCGGAGCTGCAACTTAGGATTGGCTTCTTGGGCAAGCTGCAAGCCCACAATTGCGCGCTGTATTCGCCGACGCTGCGGCAGCTGCGACAGGCCAACGTGCTATCGCGAAGCATTATGGCATGGGCTTTCCCCGTGGATGATTGGAAGAGTTACTGTGCGCTCCTGGAGCAGCGCGGCGCCGACGTCCTGGCGCCCGCGCGGCTTCCGCTCCGCGAAGCCCGACAGAGAGTCGCACGGCTGATTGCCGAACGCGCCGCGTGCGCTCGGGGAAAGCCAGCGGCGCGCGAGGCCGGGACTGCCGGGCGGCGCGGTGCTCAGAAGAAACCCGCTGCAAGGGCGCTCTTGGACAGTCTGCGCGATCGCAGAGTGCCTAGGATCAAGAGAACAGCTTTCACTTTGAAACGCAAGCCCGCGTCGCGCGGCGCTGCTGGCGAAGCCCCCGCCGCGCGCGCTCGCCAGCGGTAGCAGATGCCGATTTTTATCTATTCGTCGGCGCTCAAAGTTTCCATTCCGTGCCCTTCCTCTCCCTATGCGCACTTTCTCTGAGTCGGTCTCGGGGTCATGTCTTCGGTAGAGTCTCAAGACCTTACATCCATGGGCGCCTGAAGCATAGCATAACAGAAGGGATAAGGGTAGTGATGGAGTGAAAATACGGAAAGAGAGGGGACGCACATTATACCACAATCGTCCCCTTACATATATATATATATACCCGTATCTATCGTCAAAGAATGGCAGTGCACGGCCGTATCTATTCGTATTGCATTTTGTCAGAACGGATGTTGTTGGCTGTGCTCTCGGAGCGAACAAGATCCATGATATTGGTCGACGCAATGAGGAATGGGATGGGGAGAGTGGGAAGCAGTATCGATGAGGAGCGAAGAGACGAGTGACAACGACAAAACGACGAGGAGTAGGTTGGATAAGAACGACGAAACGAGATTTCAAACAGAACCGGGTAGGAACAGGGATTCAGAGGAAGTGGATAGCAACGAGGAGGAGGAGGAGGAGCAGGAGCAGGAGCAGGAGCAGGAGCAGGAGGAGGAGGAGGCTGAAGACGAGGACGAGAACGAGGAAGATGCTCAAATGGAAAGTGAAAGGGGTGGTGCGGGGTGCGGGCGAGGAGGTTTTAGGAGTACTGGCGGGGAGGTTGACGACGACGATGCGTTGAGGCAGGAGGAGAGGGGCCCAGGGAACGGAGGAAGGAAAAAAGAAGGAGAGCAATTACGACGCGGAGGACGAGGACAATGAGTAATGTGCATTGTCTTCCCTGTTCGTGGTCATTGAGCGGCCCAGGTCTGGCAGTGGAGACATGGCGCCGTATCTATCCGTACCTGATTTTGGTCGACATGTTTTACAGCGGTGGGCGCCATACTGAACCGTATCTAAACATACATCTATATATGGCCGTATATAACAATGTCCCTGTATCTAAATTTACACAACACGTGCCTCCCGAATCGAAATGCGTAAGAAGTCGTATCCAAACGTGTATATGTTTGAAACAAAGCTACTCGTATCTAATTGTTTCA